GCTTTTAAAATGCTTAACTATTTTTATTCTTTTATTTTCTTTCAAAAAATCACTAGATTTTAAAAACACTCATAGTTTTTGAAAGGTATTATATATATATATATATAGAAACTAAAACGCTCGGATCTTTCTGTCATTTTGTGTGCGTGTGTGGCATCTGCAATGTTTTCGTTAAATATTCAAATAAATAAGATGGACTTTAAACTAGCAGACACGTTTGGAGTTTTGCCATTTAATTTTTTTATTTAATTTTAAAAACGAAAGAAATGGAAATGGGGTTTTTATGTCATGATCTTGGCGCTGATGGTTTGGTTTTTTCCTTTGCTCCTTGCTCCCTGTCTAATTGGTCCTGCGGTTCTAAGTTGTGTGTTTGCCTCCCATCAGCGCCAGGTTATTCGTGTGTTTTGGTAAGACATTTTGTAGCTTTCTTTAGTCTCTCTGCTTCCCTGATTATGACCAGTTTTCTGTCCTGTGGAACAGCTGAGTCTGCTGCTCGCCCTCTAGAAACTCTGGGGGCGTGGCCGCCGCAATTGCTGGTCAAATCTCCCTTCTGGATTCTGCTGAGTTTCTCCGCGAATGAACTGAACTTTGAATCAAGTCAGTGACTTTGCTCCAAGTCGCATTCAGCTCCACATCCAGTCTCTGGCCTGTATTCTCCTATCCATGCAGAGATCAGCCCCGCAGCAGACGAGCAGCCCCGCGCACCTGTTTTGATTAATAAACGCTTTGAACTTTCCCACTGCCTGTCTCGCCTTGAATTCTGGGTCCAATATTCTGAGATCATTACAGAATAACCTGGCAGTGGCGAAATGATGTGGATCAAAGTATTTCCCGGCTAGAATCAGGCATGCAGGAGATCCTTGATTATTAATCAGGCTGCTCCAGCTGCCCCGCCCATGACAGCTGCCGCGCCGTCGCCTGCTACTGATAGTCCAGCTTCTCTTGAACCGCGTCTGTCCCCTCCTGAAGCGTTTAAAGGGGATCCTGATCAATGCAGAGCCTTCCTGACTCAGTGCGAAATTCATTTTGAATTACAGCCCTCTGCGTTTCCTTCTGATCGAGCCAAGGTGGCCTATGTAATCTCTCTGTTAGCGGGAAAGGCCAAATTATGGGGAACATCAGAGTGGTTGAATAATCCTGAACTCTGCAGCTCTTATAATAATTTTTCTTTGGAAGTAATCAGAGTTTTTTGCCCAGTATTCTCCTATCCCTGCAGAGATCTGCCCCGCAGCAGACGAGCAGCCCCGCGCACCTGTTGGTGTTTAATAAACGTTTTGAACTTTCCCACTGCCTGTCTCGCCTCGAATTCTGGATCCAATATTCTGACATCATTACATTTTTACAGGTTTGCTTAAAAAGATTTATATAGTAGCCCATAATATAATAGTGAAACATAAAGTCAGGAAAATGTCTCATAGAAAATGTTTTTTATTTGCATTTCAAATCAATATATTACTGATAGCAAATGACATGTATCTCTTGGCCCTGGGAATATTACATGCCAGTCGCTGCTCCATTCAAGGCTACGACCTCATCGTTGTCATGGAAAAACCGATGTGTAGACATTTACTCTCTTGTTCTCTGACAATAGAGTTCAAGCGCCGCAATATAGTAGTAGCGACATTCCTGCATTAAGTGGTTTGCTTAATTAATTGGTGATGTTTAGAACAGGAGGACATAGAGGAACCCATTATATCCAGATTACGTTCTGGTCATACGTGGTTAAATAGTACATGATTTAAAATGGGAATAAACCGGATTAGCTCACTGACTTGCGCGTTGATCACATAACTATGTTCTTCTCTCCAAAACACACAGCTGCACCGCAGGCTTTGGAAGAAAAATCCAATCCATCACGGCGGGGCGGTGCTGATCCCCGCAATATTAACCCTTTATTTCGTATTGATGATTAAAAGTATTTAGAACTATATTATTTTACAGTACAGTACAGTAGTTAACATTTATACCGTACTTTTATTTGTTAAACAAATGCTTGGGCCTGTATAAAGTTTTTATTCACTGATTTCAATGTTGTAAGGAGTATTTCATCGTATGATAACTCTAAAAAAAAAAAAGGTTTCTACTTCACGTATTTCACCTATCGCTGGTTCTTTTTGGAACGTAACCTCCACGATAAACGAGGGTTCACTGTATTTAAAATGGAAATACTCCGGATTAGCTCACTGACTTTTGGGTGGGTCACAACCATCCCTGACAACAGTTTAGAAACGCCGCTATTCATCGCGGCAGCAAGCAGCATTCTTGCATAATGTGCCCAAAAAGCCTGGGGGGTTGGGCCTTTCATGCTTGTTGTAAGGCATCATAGCGTCCTTTTCCAGATCAAACTGAAAATTTTACCAGCTAGATGATAATAAAAATAACAAAAATAGTATAACAATATGCCTATTATTATCAGAGTAAGATATTGAGGCTGTAGAATGATAATCCCTATGGTCTAATGTAATTCCTTGGAAAGGTGGAGCGCACATCAGCTGATCTAAATAAAAGAAAGATGCCATAAAGTCAAACAGCATAATAGGCTACTATCCGTAATATATATAAATAAGTTAAAGAAGTTATTGTACAATTTCTGATATCATAGGCCATCAAGTGATGAAAAAAAAAAAGAAAAACATTTAAGGCAACATTAATAACTTGACCACAGCTGGGACCGAACCCTTAACCTTTGGAATTGCAGCCCATTCACCCTACCCTCTATGCTAAACCTGGGGAACAATAATCTTCTCAGCTCGCAACAACTCATACCCCTCCCAATCTGCTCATTCAGCTATCTAATCTGACTCATGAGACGCCGAAATGGACTCAGACTGCCACCTAGTGGCTATAGTAGTCACATGTTTTTCACACAATATGTGAAACATGCGGAGCGTGAGTGAAGTGTCCATTTCCAACCAGCGCCCACTGTATTCAGTGAATATGTACGAGTTTCCCTTTGTGAAATGAATAACAAAATATCACCTTAAATTTTCATTTACCTCTGTGTAGATATTTGAATACAATTAAAAAGCCAAAAAACTGAATTTCTATGGGCAAAAGGCACAGTACAGCCTATTGCAGGGCAACACAAAGACACACAATCATGCACACACTCATACTTAAGCACAATTTAACACTCAAAATAATATTAAAAATATTCCAAACACCAACTAATACACACAACAGTATCTACTACATGTCAAAAGCATCAGTGCGTTCTGAGCAAGCCACTTTATAAATTTGATAGACAAAGCTAAAGAAATATATCACGGACAGTGAGGATAACATTACTGATGCAATAATGTTCACAGTGGAACTAGGCTGCTGTACATTATTCTGCAGATAGGACAGAGAACTGGAAACAAATAAATGTTAGGGAAAAACATAATTTATATAATACCGTTCTTAGATTGTCTTAGTTAACAGATATTGTCCATGTCTGAGAATAATAACCCCACTCCACACTGCCCTGCATGTCTTAGATGTTTCCAGGCTGTCGTGCAGTGGCTGTTCTAGACCAAATATACCAAGGGACCAGGAGGGGGCCAGCGTGTTTTCATGGGGGCCACAGAAAAGCATGAAATAAAAAAACAGGACAAGGGAGTCAAATATATTAAGAGAGCTGCATGTGGCGAAATTTCTATTAATTTAGTTTTAAGTAAAATTCTATGTCTTATTAGGTGAATATACATTCATCATTTAGGAGTTGTACATTTTTTTGACTTCCTTTAAGTTAAACATTAAGTTTTCAATAAAATCTGAATTAGAGCTCAAGGAAGACTGATAAATTCAACTGTAAAAATTAGAGTATTTTTTTAAAATTAGTTTAAAAAAACATTTAGCAGAGGAAAACTGGGATCCTATACTACTGAAGCTATCACCTTATTTTTTTTTTAAATAATTAGTAAAACAGAATTTGTAAAAAAAATAAATAAATTGAAATAGATCCAAAGGACCAATCAGTAACCATGTCTGTTCCAGCGCAGATCATCATTAGAATTTCTTTGAGTATTATGTCAGGGGCCAGGACATGATCAACAGGGGCACTGGCCCCCGTTGGCCCCCTGTCTAGAACCGCCCATGCTGTCATCAACCTCATATATCAATTGCTATCAGATTAAGAGGGTTTTCTGAACTCCAATAATCTGAATCAGGTGTACTGAAGCATGGAAACACCTGAAACATCCAGAGCAGTGTTCCTTGAGGACCAGGGTTGAAAAACACTGCTCTACATGAACAATCAAACTCACACTTTTTCCTCAATGTAACTTTTTGAGGCAGATCTGCACAGCATCACTCACAGGTTTATAAAAAGGGTTGAAAGGGTGTGTTTGTTTGTCTTAAACGGGACGTCACCGTGTAATCAAACCTCAATCTCTCTGAATTGCAAAATATGACACTATAACAGGCTTTAGGTCAACAAACGGCTGTTTTTATAGTGATGCTGGAGTGAGAAGTGTGACCTCAATGCAAACGATTTAGGGGCAACTTTTGATATCCAGGCATCAGCTTCCACACTCCTGCCACTTTTCAGCGCTCTGTAAACATAAACAGACACCTTGTATGGCTCAGTCGGAATAAACAGTCGCTCAGCTGTTAATACTGCATGACAAAGTATCTGTTGGCAGATGATGTGCGCACCTTGGGAGCCCATCGCTCAGTCTGCGGCGGCTCACCATGCCCCGACCGTCCGTCCGTCCGTCCGCTCAGCGCGGCTGCTCTCACTTTACTTTCAACTCGGCGTCACACTGAGGAGTTGAGCCCATATATCTCAGCCTGTGTGCCACAGCCGAGAGGAAGCACGCCAAAGTACAGCAGGAGCGACTTTAAGTACAAACATTAATGAAGCCTAGGGCTTGAGGCTGGTTAGTTTCGCCTGTTAAAGGGCTTAGGACACGTTATTTTTTTATTTTTTTACATACGTGACGCCCTTCCCTTTACTTCCTAATTCCATTATTGGTCTATTTCACAGAGCCTGCTCCGCGGACGGCTTTTTATCCTACCTCGTAGAGATCTCCTGAAGCCATTCTGGGTTGCGGACAACGGCGGCGCGGCGTTCTTGCCTGCCCTGTTGGGTTTTTTTTTTTTTTTTTTGGACCCTACTCTCTCGGTGTTTCGCCGACAGCCCCGATAGACGGGAATTAGCGAGCAGTCTTGTTATTCTGAGCAATCCGCAGTAGTAGATCAAGCAGACAGTGTCAATCGAGCCCGGCGCTGCGCGATGGATTGGTCCACACTTAAAACAAACAAGCATCGGGGCGGTGCTGTTTACCCAGACCCAAGTGCAGGACTGGAAATTAGTCCTAGGCTTAAAGAATGAAGAGTCTGAAGGTCTACATGCACCAAGCTCTGTAAAGCTCTCCTGCAGCCCAACCAAAGAGGGATGATGTGTTAGATGTTTTCTTTTTATTTGATCATTACCTAATATTCACCTACCTGTTCACTTTGCTGACCTGATCTAGTCATAATTTACATTTTTTAGATTAAGAGTAAATATGCATTTTATAGTTGTGGCAGAAAAACCCTTATTGACTTTGTCTAACTATGAAATTAATGGCTCCTAATTGATGCTGATGAAGGTTCTCAGTCATCCAGGTCATAGTCATTCCGTAAAAATTCAAAAAAATTCAAAAAATATCCACTGGTGGATATCCAGTGGATATTTTTTTGAATTTTTTTGAACTCCTAATTGATTTTATGAAGTTGGTTTATGGGGAGGGAATTTATAGATTAATTAGAAATTATATAATAAAACCATTGGACTGTTATTTAGCTTTTATGTTTTCAAGTTGGACAGGAAGTATATTGATAGATACAAATAGAATGTGTTATAGTTAAATGCATTTTGTTAAAATTTAAATCACATATTTAGACACTTTGAAGCGAGGCACTTTAGGGTTTTAATCTTAGTCTAGGGTCCTACATGGAATGTTCATTTCCCCCCTTAGTGTAGGTACTTTTTGTTTCATCCAATAGTCCAACAAAATATGATAAGAGATCTCTCTAAATAGCCCTAAAGTGTGTGTAGGCACATGGTTTTTTTGGGGGGGATCCCTGTTTTCCCCTGTAAAGGAGAGATAAACAACACCAGGGGCAGATCTACAGGGGGGCAACTAAAGTAGAGCCTTGCCCATCCAGCTGCTCCATTGCTGTTATATAATTGGAAAAAAAAAATGGAATGGAATTACTGATCCCTTGTTTGTTCAAAAGCCCCTTAAAGCCTTGAAAAGATATATTGATTAACCTAAAACATAGAGTATAATATGTATTTTTAGATCATATGTAATATATAATATAAAATAGTTCATTTGTTGCCATTGTAAGATTTCTAAAGAGAACTGCTTTTTTCACGTGTGTGAATGTGGTAAAGATTTCTGGTTTCATATTGTGATTGACTGGCTAATAGGGAAATTTGTTTCCAAATCTTAATGCTTGCACATTGCAGATGAGAAAAGGGAATATGGAGATATTTCTAGTTTCTTCTGTGAAGAAAATGAGGGATGAGAAGATTAGAAAAAAGAAGAATTATTAAAAGACCAAGATGATCACAGGTTTCACTGGAAGTGACACAGCTGAAGAACTGAGTGAGGATGAAAAAAAAAAGACGTTCGTGTAAGTATAAAGATGAGAATATTTCAGTCAGAGAGAGGAAATGAAGACAGTGTCGAGGAAAACTGTTGGAGAAAAGAAAGCCACAGAATCAGCGCCTCAAGTTGATCCTACAGGACCAACGTGCATGTATTTATTCTCAGTAAAAAATTCCAGCGCAAAGATATTAGATTTACAATTTCAATTACAATTTACAATTGTTGCCTTAAAAGCGATGGCTGAAATCAGTCCAATAATTACTTTTTTGAATTTGTCTTCTATATTTATTTATTCTTTTACTGATTTTGTGGAACAATTTTTTGTAAGTTTTGGTAAGTAGCCGAGTGTGAAGCAGCCGGGATGGGGATCAGTGCCTCCAAATCCGAGGCCATGGTCTTGAGCCGGAAAAGGGTAGAGTGCCTTCTCCGGGTCAGGGGGGGTGTCCTGCCCCAAGTGGAGGAGTTTAAAGGAATAGTACATCCAAAACATGATTAGCCTTCATTTTCTACTCACCCCCATGCTGAACAACACTCTGGAGTACTTTTTTGATATCTCAAATGCATCTGGAGATCTGGGAGGCTTCTTGCTGTCTGCTGACATTCAAATAATGGAGGTCTATGGCGCCAGAGGCAGAAAGGTCCATAAAAGTCCACAAAAAGTGTAAATATTCCTCCATACTGCTCGTCCAATGTATTCCAAGTATCCTGAGTGGGTAGCGTCCATAATTTTCTCGAAACAAAGTCATTTAGAATGTTTTTAGAGCATAAACAGTTGTGTATAGGATTTCCTCAAAGCGCGCGCATGCAGGTTCACGACTCTACGGAAACCGCGGCAGACCAAACCAGATGAAAGTGCGCATTCAGCGTCTGCTCTGCCGATAATGCAAGCGTAGAAGAAGAAATGTGCTGTTTACCTGTGCAAAGAAAGAAACAATGAAAGAAAAACGTCTGAGGACTTCATTGTTGAGGAAGAGCATGAGTTCTTTGCCGAGCTGAATGCGCACTTTCATCTGGTTTGGTCTGCCGCGGTTTCCGTAGAGTCGTGAACTCGCATGCGCGCGCTTTGAGGAAATCCTATCAGAAATGGAAATAGAAAGCTCACTACTGTGAAACACAGTATTGAGAGTATGCATCAGTTGTGGGATTCTAGAGTTACTTTATATATTACACTCCTTATGAATTGCATTCAAATGTTGACCCACTTCATCCTCAGATACTTCTATGATAAAGGAGCATGAGCATTAACCAATATAAGCAGATGTAATGATATAATAGGGGTAGTACATCTAAACAATGTACGTATAAAAAATATATTTGCAAATTGTCTTTTAACAACAACAAAAAATACCTAGTTAAGCCAATTGTACAAAAAGCAATTAAAAAAGAAAAAAAATAGTCAAAAAATTTAAATAAAGCTATGCAATAGTAAATTAGATATAAAGAATTAAACATTGACAAAAAGCAATCACTACAGGGAAAAAGATAAAGAATATAAGATGTAAGGGGTAATTAAGAATAACACACAGAAAAGCATAGAGTCTTTTAGCATTGGTGGTAGACATTATCTTTAAGGACAAAGTAAGTGTATTTTAGGCTTGTCCCGATCCGATCCACGTATCGGATCGGACGCCGATATTGGCAAAAATATGCGTATCGGCAAAGCATGTAAAAATGCCAATCCAGACTGCCGATCCAGTTTCTAAAAAAAATTCAGTCCGTATTTTCCAGTTTCACCGATTGAAACAATCCATTCCACTATTTTGCGCCAGTGTTCCCTGAATCCGGTCCGTATTTTCCAGACCACAGGTCTTTTTGGGTCTGTCTCCCGGCCTAACCATTAAAACAGGTGAATTGGAAGATAGCGGGGAAATGTCAGCCGTGTGGGATTATTTTATCCTGCACGATGTGTAGATGGAGACTAGGTGTGGAGGACATTGGGGAGTATAAGGCATTTTTGTGTAACTATTATTTGCATTGATTTTTTTAAGCAGTGTCTTTTTTCAAGAGTAGAGTCCTGATTCTAAGTTAATAGACTATTTTCCACTCTTGTCTGTTTTGCATTTTTATTAAAACTTACAGTAATATAGCACCTTTAACTGATTACAATATTAGATTGCTATTCATAATTTTGTCCAGTTTGTGTTTATCTCTTAAAGGGACACTATGCAACATTTTTCAGTTAATTAATGTGTTCCATAACGTTATGGATGACTAAATGAGTCATTTTAGGTTGAACAAAGGTATTCTCGGCCGCCCTGGTGGTCTGTGGGGGAAATACTGCACTTGCAACTGCAGGAGCACCGACCCGCACCCACAGGCTCAGAAGTCTCGTGAGAGTCAGTCTTGCTTTACGGCGAGAACTGCTACACCCCCCAGTTAAAAGCATTCTCGTTGCTAGCACAGTGGCAATCTTTGTGCAGTTATGCTACGTTCACGCAGCAAAATCGCATCTGCTGCTTCCTTTTTGCTGCTTGTACCAGTTAGTTCTGACGCACGGCTGAAGCAGCTTTGCTGCTCTGGCTGCAAAAGTGTGTCTGACGCGCGTTGGGCGGAGCTTCACTATCCTTTCTCTGCCTTGCAGCTATATTTGCTGTGATCAGTGGGAATAAAGTAGTTTTAATATGTGTTTAAGTGAGAAAATACACCTGAAAACGTAATCAGTGCAGTCAGTTCATTCAGATTATTATCCTGCCTTCAATATTTTTTCTGTCGGAGCCGCTCAGACCCCCACATACCAGGGATGCGCCGACAGTATGGATCCCTTCATCAGCAGCGGTTCACCGCGGCAGCTGGTAGGTGTTTTTCATCTAAATAATCCAAACTGCATATTCTGCCGGCAGATTTCTGCATTTCAAGTTAATTTAGGCGTCAATAAACTGTTTAAGAGCAGTGATCATCAGCGCTGTGTCTCTCTCCCTGTCTCTCACCCGACGCGCTGCTGCAGCCGCTCAGACATGCTGCGCCTGCAGCTCAAAACGCGCCGCGGGACCTTTGCATGTAAACTCACTGCTTCTGTCGCGCCAGCTACATCCAGTGTGAACGCAGCGTTAGTCATTCGCTGCTAAGCTCAAAACAACCGCGCCTGGCTTGACGGAGAAACCAGGAGAACAGCTGAGCATATTTACGACAGTGCACTTTTACTTTCGCCCTCTGGGGGGAGCCTCACTGGAAAATCAACACCGGTTGCATAGTGTACCTTTAATAAACAGGTAAGTTTGTTGTTACCAATCATTGTGTTTTATTCAATCTCACCTAATTCAGCTGGCTAGATGTTATCAAGAGTACTAAAACCCTTTTCAACATGAGTCTTACAACTAAGGCTAAATACTTTGACTTAAACTTAAATACATGCTCGGATAGGCTGGTATCGGCCAGTATGGGTATCGGATCAGAAGTCCAAAAACAATATCGGTATCGGATCGGAAGTGCAAAAAGCTGGATCGGGACATCTCTAGTGTATTTATTTTGTTTTTAAATGCTATGATTGTAGGGAGAGTTTTGATAAGATGACGTTTGTGTATGAATAAATTGACCATAACAATTATATCATAAATTATAGATTTTGTTTGTTTATCTTGAGGCAAATATCCTTGCGGAGGGGGGGAAAGATAATGTTTAAGGATTTAGAGAGTAACCAGTTATGAACTGGGAATAAAAATATTTGTGTCAATGTGGGGGGGTGGTTGCTTCAGGACCCAAATGCAGAGTTGAGTGAGGCAGAGATTAGTTCTTGTAGATTTAATGAAAAAATGAGGCAAACATTAAAAAACACGAAAATACTGAGAACCAAAAAACATCCAGAGACAAGGAAGCAACTAACAACAACAACAAGGAACCAGCGCTGAAGAACCGCACAGGGAGAGTATATATGGTAGACAGAACAAAGACTGGGATAATCAGATGCTATGGAGCAGATGTGGATAGAGGTGACTAAAAGGGAGCAAGGGGAAAGGAGACAGGCACACGGGGGCAACAGAGTGTTACTTAAAACTGCTTGAATATAATGGAAAATAAACCAAAGATCAACAAAACAGAATGACTTAGATAGTGAAAACTAAAAACTCAAAGGGCCAGTAAACTCCAACTTTTAGATGTGCCTTTGGTTCAACAATCCTGAATCAAGTAATTGGATGACTAAGAGGACTCTCGAGGAATTGATTGTATACTGAGGAAACTCTGCCATTTGATTGACCAAGGATGAATCTAAAAGTTGCAGGATAGTGGCCCCTTAGGAATTGGAATTGCCGTCCTGAAGTAATCAATGTTTTTTCCTGCATTTATAGTAATTTCCAATTCTTAGTTTATATGGTTTAATAAGATCTTAGCGCACCAAATGAAGCTTTTATAGTGTAAATTATCTAAAGGCTTTTAACAAGGTATCTAAGCAAGCAAGTGATCTTCCTCCAGAAGAACAATTCTGAGGTTAGGTGCTGAAGTCTTCCAGTTCTGAAGGTTTGTGTGTGTATGTTTGTGTGTGTCTGTGTGTGAGAGACAGGACTGACATTGGGAAATTTTACAGTGTTCACATTCACATGTTGGGGCACACTAGTCTCACTGTAATTCAACAATCCTGTTTTTTTCATATTTCATATACATCAATCTAAAATCTAGAAATTACATTTCAAACCTGTGTTAGTGCCCTTAAGTGCTCGGGTAAGAATCAAAACAAGTTCATGTTCTAAATGTTACATTTAGCTTCAAGAAACTATCATACTCATGCAAGTAAATCATCAATAGTGTATACAACATAGTAAAATGTGGGATTAAGTTCATATATTCATTTACTAAAACATCAGCTTAATTTCAGTCACAGTAGAGTCGATTGTATGTCAGTGACGTACAGGTTTGGTATTCATGGTTTATGAAAGCTCAGGCTTTTATGTGGCAGAAAATCCCCAACTCTCCAAAAGATCTGTGGCAGCCTGGTTTCTCTGGCGAGCAAAATAGTGTGTGCTACAGTGTTAAGTACATAGTAAGTTGATGAAGGAGCCTTAGTTATGGGAAAAGCCAGTCCCTGAATGAAATATACTTCACAGAAGGAAACCATAATCAGCTCTTTAGATGTTATATCTGAGTTTTATCTTTGTGTTGTTTTTTTTTATCTTTGTGGTCTTTTATTTTATAATTTTCTACTATTAGTTATTATTTCCACGTTAAAACCATGAGGCTTTAAGTTAATAAAAGTGGTTTCATGTCACTAAGAACTTGTCTCACAAAGGTTTATTTAGAACTTATTTTGTTTTTTTATATCCACAGATTAATTAATTTTAATTGAATTGGAATTATTCATTCTACCCAAGGTACACTTTATTTGCACTGGACAATTCTGTATAAAAGTATTAGCCATGTTTTTGCTTGCATATTTTTATATCATTAATTTTCAGCTGAAAAAACTTTACATCAGACTACTCTCGCAGCTGGATTAGTCCATGCATAACTCAGTTTGACTGACCAGATGCAAGTACAGTATGTGTGTGTGGGTGTGTGTGGGGGTTATCATTGCAAATGCAACATTCAGAGTCTCAACAATTTCACCCAGTCTGTGTAAACATCATGATTAATTAAAAGTAACTTATTTGATATGCAAAAATTAAGAGGTTTTCATGTGAGGCTTTCAAAAACAGAGTGCAACAAAGGGCAGAAGCAGTTGTAAACAGTTATTTCATTGAAGTTTTTATAAGTAAAGCAAACATAGTTAGTTAATAACTTCCCAAATCAGATATTTTATTACAAACTATCTTGTTCTGTTTTAAACTTCATATCTGTGTTGGATTTAACTAATCCTACAAATTGCAACAACAGTCCCCAACATACTGTACATTCAAGCTCTGACATCACACCAAAGGTGATACAAGGTTGTGTAATCCATAGATATCCATAATAAAGGCTAGATGTCTTACGGTGGAGTCTCAAACGTCATCACCGGCGGCCATCTTACCTCAGGCAGGCTTTCTGTTGTAGTCTGTGGTACCTAATGTAAGGTGAATGATCAGCATGAACACAAATACTCTTAGCTCACTGAATTCTTGACGGATTTACAAACAGTTTGGCTTCTTACAAACATTATGAACGTGGGTATTATTCTTGATGCTTGAACATGTCGAAATTGCAGATTTTCTTGTCGAAAAATGACTTAATCGCGCAGCATAGTTGTGCATCACGGCTACTTGCGCAAGTTATCAAGGCTGAGATTATTAGTCAATTATAAAGGTTTTACTCACACCAATAACGATTGTATGACAATCTTTGGTGTAAATTACAATCTTTGTGGATGTGGTTGTAGTTATTAGTTGGCTAATAACAATAATCTGAGTGTTGTTGTATTTTCATTATTAGCCTAACGTTAGCTGGCTAATAACAAGAAGCTGCGAAGTGAGACCTAACGTTAGTAAGTTAGCAGCTAACGTTACAGTTTAGCTAGCTGCTAACGTTAACAAGCAACTTTACATCAGTGGAAGAGGCAGAATTGCACATGATTTCCAATCGATTTGGTCTGTCAACACATCTTACATTATGTTACAGGAATTTGCTGGGTTTATTAAAAGGAAGATGCCAGACTTTTGCTATGACATAATAGTATTACAAGACTGTTGTTGACTCAAAGCTTTTATAAGTTTGTATTAGTTTCATTTGGACAACTTAAAGATGGTGTTGTGCCAAACATTTTCAACTTTCCAGCTCATCTTCAAAGGGCATGTGTATCATTGAAATTGAATCACATATTGATATACCAATCTTATACACCGTGAATTGTTGTTGGTCACTTTTGTTTTTGTTTCTGCAGGTTATATAATGTGTAAGGAGGAGGAGAAGATCTTCCATCCCCGTTTGCTGACCTTCCTGCACTAGTACATGACCACAGCTACCTTCCTGTCCGCTTTGATGGCCTTGTGGACAACGCTCTCTTGTACATTACACAGAAGCTCAATAAAACCTTCCTTTTCAAAGGGCATTAGCCAAGCTATGTTTATTGGGTCATTTTTTAAATCTCTGTCTTCCATGTGTATACCATCACAGTAGTGTAGGTGGGGATTTCAACATGCTACATCTATATATACTTGTGAAGGGGACTATTGTACCAATTTTAATAGCAAATAAATGTCACTTTTATAATGGTTTAAAAATAGGAACTTTGTGTAATTACCCCTGATATATAATCCGAATAGTCTACATGAAACTTCAAAGTGTTACCTTTAATTTGAAACCTGCATTATGCTTCTACACCAAGAGGTTGCCACACAATAAGCCTTTTTTGTCAGTATTTCATATTTTATTATAACAATAATATTCATATTATAAAAGCATGTAAATATAAATAAATTAGGACTGTGAAATAATTAATCACACCCAAATAAGTGTTTATTTATAAATATATATATATATATATATATATATATATATATATATATATATATATATATATATATATATATATATATATATATATATATATATATATATATATATATATATATAAATGTGTATATATATATATATATATATATAAATAAATATGTATATATACATATTTTTATATATATATATATATATATATACACATATTTATATATATATATATACATATTTGTATATATATATAGATATCTATAGATATATCTATATATCATGTTGCCATTCAGTACACTGAGTTTTAATAGCATATATTGATTTAACATAAATACCTTGTGCATGTGTATATTTATTGCACCTGTATGTTCTATTCAATGTTCTTTTCATATGAAATTCCATGGTTATAATTATTCATAAGTGTGCAGTATCATAACTACATGTCTGACTTTTGTTTAACAAACCAAACAGTTTGAGAATCGTTAGACAATTGAGGAAGTTATGGTTATTTCAGTACATGCGCCTTTAAAACACAATGTTACGAATGAGCGAGCTGCCTGTGGCAAGATGGCCGCCACGTGCGGACGTCGACCCCCATTGGCCAGCAGCGCGGACGAGAAATCTAGCTTTTATTATGGATATCTATGGTGTAATCTGCCTTTTAACCCCTTTTGATAACTGCTGTGTTGAAAAGCTCCCCACTTCAGCTAAAGCTTAGTAGGTTTTGAAATGCAAACCTTGTGGTGCTGCACCTTTGGTGGCAAAGATGTAAGACTACTTCCTCATCATTCCTTTAAAGAAGATGAACCAGCATGAACCAATTGTCTACAGAGCTCCCTGAAGCTTTTTCGATTGGAGATGCTACTGCCTCTGTTTCTTTGCTACTTTAACTATACATGGGCTGGTTTTACAACGCATAGCTTTAAATTATGATATTGATGAAGGAGTTTGCTTAAACCTTCTTCTTAACAGGTATTTTTTATTATGATCTTAAACCTAGCTGATAACACTACCCTGTTGGTGTTGAATTTTGAGAGTGAGCCACCAGTGAGCTAAGTTATAACAATAATACTAAAACTACTACAACTTATAATAATAATACATTTTATTTATAATGCACTTTAAAATTTAAATAAATCTTAAAATGCTACAGATCACTTACATACAGGAGAGTTGGTCAAATTGCTAAAAGCTGTATAAGGAGGTGGTGGAGCGGAGCTTTCATGAGGCAATGTGTAGGATGACTGACTCGCAGAGGTAGGCAGGGGCTCCAATGTATGCATTGATAAATGAGGCAGTGTTTTATAGAGATAATGCATTGAATGGGCAGCCAGTGGAGGGGATTAGACACAGGGAATTTACTGTATACATATTTGCACCTCCTTGTCACGACCAGGGCAGCACAGTTCTGAATGGGCTGGAGCTTTTGCCTTGGATCCCAACAAGGAGGGAATTGCAGTACTCCAACCTCAAAGATAAAAAGGCTTCGATTGACTTGTCTGCATCTGGTTGGGAGAGGGAGGGCTGGAGTTTGACAATGTTGGCTGATGTTGGTGTCAAATGTAAAGTGTGAGTCAAGTCAGACTCCAAGATTTCTGTCAGAGAATGTTGGGGTAATGTTATTACCAAAGATAAGGATACTGCTTAGAGTGAGTGGATTTGTTGCAAGGTGCCATTTACTTTGGTTTTGCTACTACTAAATTAAAGAAAGTTATCTCCTCCAGGCAATCCTGTATTGGAACCGGATAGAACTGATGGGAGTCCCTCTTTATTTACAACTGTGTAAATTCGTTTTTAGCAGTGAAATGAAACCTCGTGTTTATGCATGACTTGACAAAGTGGAAACATATAGGTGGTGAAAAACAGTTGGTGCAAAAAAAAACAGACCCATGTGGGATGATTTGGATTGTCCAAGTGCCACATGCTTAGTTCTGCCTGTCCAGGACCAGTTTAATGTGAAGAGTCCTACCTCAGTCTGTAACCATTGAAGCTGCGTGTTATGGTCCATTGTTTTAGGGGGGTTCTTTCTCTCTCTCTCTCTCTGTCCGTCTACCCCCCTGCTTGACTTTGTGTCCCTCATTTTTTTACTCTCTTTCCCTCGCTGAACACAGCTACATGTGCCCGCTAATTTGGGGTTAGCCTATTGCCTGCCCGAATCCCTTCCTCCCCTCTCTGCTCTAACCACACCAAGCCAGAGTAAGGGAGTTTAGTTTGCTACCTTGCGAATTCACTCCAGTGCTGAGTTTATTTCAAGATAGCTGCTGGTTTGAAGCATAATTCATTATATAATTACCTAAAGAAGTGCTGCTACCTAGGTTGTTCAGATTTTCCTTGGTTCTGTAATTTTTCTTCTGGTAGTTTAATATGTTCTAGTAGCAATATTAATAGAAACATTTGCTTGTACAGTAAAAGGTAATTATTTCTTAAATAAATTCCCATCTATATAAAGTGTTGTTGTCTGCAGTTATGTTTTATCAGTGACCTGCTTTTACTAAGGACTAAAAAGAGAGATGTTTTGTGGCTTTGTAAATGGTTCATAATTATCAATCGCATGTCTAAATTTAAATAATAAACATTTACTAGTGGTTAATTCACATAAGCATCTACAACTGGTTTAAATATCGACTTTTACTGATAAAATTAAACAATGATTGTTAATTGATGGTACAAATTCTCAATTATATTCCTTACCAGCTGTTTGCATTATACACAATTATCTCATATATCCTTTTTTTGTGGATTAATTTTCATTAAAATTATGAATGATTATGTGATGATCTTGGCAATGATGACTGCCTTAATTACTCATTCCATTCACATGTCTATCTCAGCTGGTTTCTAGTCCCTGCTCATCTGATCCAACTGCTCCTGCCTCTATTTGAGGTGCTTGCATCCAGTTATCAGGGCCTGATTATTTTTGTTCTTTCGTGCCAGTGGTGAAAGGGCTTTTAGCGTACCTTAGTGTTTCTGATTTCTTGATCGTGACCTGTTCTGCCTCTTAAGCACTGAGCCTCCCTGTTGCCATCTGAACGGTTTGACTGAACTGTCTTTAGACTCCTGGCCCTCTAAACCAGCCTGTTCCTGTTCTGATCTATTTGCCTGATCTCACTTCGGACCCCTGCTTGCTGCATAATCTGAGACAGTCTGGGCGGCGCCCAATGCATCTTGGTATAATGTTACTGGCAATTTAATGGAGAACGTTACTTTAACTAGATTAAAAAAAAATTAATAAGTTTAGTCTGCTGCAGGGAGAGGGAGACAGATTTCAGTGCAGAGACAAAGCAGCAGTTGGAGGCAGGGATCATAATTTTGGGTGGGTGTTAAGCATGTAATAGAGGAGAGACGTGAAATGATGGCAGTTTTGCAAAGCATTTGCAGCAATCGCTTTTTCGTGGGAGTACTGAACAAAAGCATGATACAGAAAAGCATGGCAATATATTAGTTTGTTAGGCAAGTGAGACACAGAACAAAAGAGCCATTTGTGGCTGAGGAGACTCCAGATGCAGGACCTTAAGAAAGTATTCAGCCGCTTGGACTTTTCAACCTTTTGCCACATTTTGGGCACTTTTTTAAACATAAAGATATACATTTAAATTTTTTTGTAAAGAATCAACAAGTGGGACACCATTAGGAAGTGTATTTGATATTCAAAACTTTTTTAACAAATGAAAAACTGGGTGTGCAAAATTATTCAGCAACCTTGAGATAAGAATTTGTAGCAGCACATTTTGCTGTCATTATAGGTGCAACTTGCTTCGGGTAGCTATTAGTTTTGGCCATTCTTCCTTGCAAAACAGCTTGAGTTCTGTGAGGTTGAATGGACAGCGTTTGTGAACGGCAGTTTTCAGTTCTTTCCACAGATTCTCATTTGAATGCAAGTCTGGACTTTTTAACACCTGGATTTGTTTAATTGTGAACCAATCCATTGTAGACTTTGCTTTATGTTTTGGATAGTTGTCTTTTATGGAAGATAAATCTCCGTTCCAGTCTCAGGTCTTTTGGAAACTCCAACAGGATTTCTTCCAGTATGGCTCCATTCTTCTTGCTATAAATTTTAACCATCTTCCCTGCTGAAGAAAAGCTGCCCCAAACCATGATGCTGCCACCACCATTTTTGGCCAAACGTAACATTTTGTATTGTTGCCAAAAAGTTCGATTTAATTTGACCAGAGCACCTTCCACATGTTTGCTCTCTCTCTCCCAGGTGACTTATAGCACATGTTAAATGAGACTTTTTATGGGTATATTTCAGAAATGGTTTTTCTTGTCCATAAAGACCAGATTTGCTGTAGATCGCTGCAGTTCATCCACAGTGATGACTGGACCCTTGGCTACATCACTGATCAGTCTTTCGATTATTTGAGATGCATGTTCAGAGGGATAGTCGTGTCTTCACAGATTTGTAGTGGTCTGATACTATAGCTTGCCACAACAGTATCTCAGAACTGCCTGGTGTGCTCCTTCTTCTTCATCATGCTCTCTATGCTTTAAACAGACCAGGGGGTCTGTTTCATGAAGCAGGTTTACAAAAAACTCTAAGTTGTCTAAACCTGAATACAGAGAAACTCTGGCTTTTCAGGTTCACATAGATTTATTTCCTGAT